GTAGAAATCTCGAGCTCATAATCTAATTGTTTGATAGAAGTACGACTTTTAGAGCACACTTTCTCACAGGTTTCTTTATAAAATTGTTTGTATTTACCTAGTTACTTCAGAATCAAGGATTTCAAACAACACTACTGTTTACATGTTTGACATCTTTATTTACCTTATTTTATAAACTATAAGACTTTTGTTCATCTCTACAACTGATTCAAACAAAACCAAAAGTTCAAAAAGTTTCCTGGTCCACCAGGGGCGGGTTGTTCAGAGCCCGATTAAGCTAACAGGATTAGCCAGAATTTTGACTTGAGTTTTGTAACTCTTCGGTGAGGTTTTCTGTTTATATTGTTTGTCCTTTAGTGTTGAGTTTGTATAATCTCAAACTATGAAAAAGATACGCAGTGTTAAACATTTATATCCAAGAAAAATTTATACTTCGGTTAACTTCTAATCCTGGGTTAGCGTTAACCGGCTTTCGAACAACCCGGCCCTGGGGCCCGTTTCTCGAAAGCCCCGGAAACCTTTCGGGCCCGGAAGCCATGGCAAAATCTCGAACCTTACGATTACAGAGCTGTTTTATTCCCATATTCTTAATATGAAGAGAGATTCCCTTCATACAAGAAGTTTCAGGCGTATACACTTCTCCGTTTTTAGATAACGATGGACTAAAAATAGTTTTACGGGCCCGAAAAGTTGCAGGGGCTGTCAAGAAACGGGCCCCTGGAGACAATCAAGTGGTCGCCCTGTCGTGTCGATCATGTTCTCGTTTAAGAACGCTGTTCTCCCTCGAAAATTTGAGAACATATTCACAATCAACAACCAGATCCATTGTTACAATACAAAGCATGCAAACTCCTTTCGTCTACCATTATATAGAACAAATATCCGGCAATTCTCTGTATTCTATCGAGGTCCTAAATTTTTTAATTCTCTTTCACCTGAAATTTCTGGCTCTTCATCACTGGCATCTTTTAGCAAAAAACTTAAAGCATACATTATCGGTAACTATTAACTCTGTCATTACATAAGGCTTGTCATTAATTACTTTATCTAAATTAGTCATCTGGTGTTTCCTGAGAGGGAAGCTAAGCTTACAAGCCCCGTGCGGGTTTTTATTAGGTTCTCTCGCCATTTTTTTTTTTCTATCCTTTAATATATAAATTGTAGTTTTGTATCTTCATTGTAATCTTGAATATTAGTTTTTGTTATTTATTAATCATTGTATTGTAATTCTATTTTTGTTTGTGTGGCAAATCAAAAAAATTGAAAATAAAATAAAATAACTATTGTTATATCGTCATCTGATTGGTTAAATGTCTTATTTGAAACCACACTGTGTTTACCTCCTTGATTACTCTAATTTTGATTTATGAAGACAGTCGTAATGAAGCTGCTCCAAATTAATCTTTTTTTCTTTCTCTGAGCATAACTATTCAGTAAATGCGATAAACACTCAATGCATTTCTCACTAACGACGAGAAATACACTATTTCATGTAAAAACAAGAGTATGTACATGAGTAATTATCATGTCCTCAATCAAACATTCTGTGGCACTGATGCAAAAAGCTACGACAGAACCTTCCAATCTCAACTTACGAAATGTGTTCTGTTATGGTCGCAAATACATAAAAGTCCATATCCGATATGTTGGAATTTTGATCGGGTATTGAAAATTTTTATCTCCTTTAGACGTTTCAATTTAAAATACGTGAATACTTTGTTCTTTGAACTATTTTTTTCTTGATCAGCAATTTTACTCGCTCAGTCGTTTCAAAAATATTGATACTCCGAGGGTATACAATTTTTTTTTTCTCAAAACAGCTTTAGAAACAAGCTTATGGCAACATGGCATAATTTTCGTAACTTTTAATTGACCTAATTAAAAGACTACGCCGTTTAATGAAACCATTATACAATCTAACAAAGTTTTATATATCTGAGTAAAGTATTTCCAATACCGGGAAATACCATTGGACGATAAAATGAAAGGTAAATGTAAATATCTAAACTTTTGGTTCTTTTTTTCTTTTTTTTTTCCTATCTGAAAATCTAAAATGCTCATCGTGGTAACGACGATATTTATAAACAATTTAAAAACGCAGGTAATACTCCTGGAAACCTCGTCTAGAAGCCACCTCTTCGTGATGAACCAACTTCCGAGTTGATGATAAACTTCTTGCACTAGGAAAAATGAGATAAGAATATATAAAACAAAGCAGAAACACTGTTACTTGCAAACTAACGTTTTCCACAATAAATAAAACAATGTAAGGTTTACACGAGACATTGACACATAATCAAAATAACAATCGCAAGCACAATTGAAGTTCAAATCCAACAGCCCAATGCCGCGAACTTTCAAATCCATCACTGAAATACAAACCCATTCACGTGCATGGAAGCTTCTACAAAAGCGAACCAAAAGAAATCTTTCTTTTTCAATATCATTGAAAATGAAATAAATCAGAAGGGCAAACCAAGCTAACTCACCATCTTGGAGGGCTTTTTCTTACATGGCTCAAACGTCACTAGTGGAATCAAAAGAAGATGCTTTTTCAGCTGTGGCTGTCATCCTACCAAGACAAAACAAGAAATTTACTGCTTTGTGATTTCAATTTTAATCTTTTTTTTTCAGTTAAAATTACTTTATCATCACCAACATTCACAAACACAGGAAATAAGCTAGATATAAAAAATGTAAGTCAGCACAATATGTAAGTTTCAGGTTTAATACTTATGTCCGCTACTGGTAACGTGTTTTCCCCTATAAATTAATCTTAATTTCGTTTACCATTAAAGAATGTCTAAAGCAAAACTTCCAAACCTTAAGATTCCTCAAATCAAAACGAATCACCACAGCTTCTAAAAACTAAAAGCTTAGAAAAGAAGTAAAAGAGAAATTTCATCTTAATGAGTGCCGTCTCCTAAGTCTCGCCCAAACACTACCCCCGTCCCCCCTCCCACATCGTATAAGGGCAAACAACTTACCGATGATAACCCCCAGAAATATTCGATCGTGGAGTTTATTTGATTTTAGTTCGTTGTGATTTACTTGCATCATATTTTATGACGACGCATAGAATCGTCAGTTTGATTAGACAGCTAAAAACTGCAATAAGAGCTATTTCCACGGTTTTGAAATGGACAGTTGCTCTTCCATTCAAGTACGCGATGCAAATAAGTTTCTTGCTAAGGGGTGCGATTATTTCAGTTTAGGATAACATTTCAAAAATAAGTTTGAGTAAGATTCCTACCTGATTTTGCTGAAATCCATTGTGACGTCATCGCCAATAAGTACAAATGGAGCCCAGCAACTCACGTCATTGAAGTCGTCGGATTCTCTCAGATGTTTCATGGCGTAATTGAGAGCCTTACTAGCACATTGTCCTTCAGACAGATGTTCATAGAAATGTTTCATGAATTCTTGAGTTGCTTTGTCATTGATCGCCCACAATGTCACGACAACGGCACGAGCACCAGCTCCTAAAAAGGCACGTGCAATACCAACCACGCCTTCAGCCTTAACCTCTCCTCGGCCGCTATGGCAACAGCTCAAGACAACCAGTCGTGCTCTCAATTTTAAATTCAAAATGTCGTGCATCGTCAAGAGAATGTCTTCCGACCTGGACGCCTGGTAAAAAGACAAAATGATATCACCAGTTCCTGAGCGACCATGTGCTGCAATGTGTACTAAAGCAACCGAGTTTATCCGGCGCAACACTTCGGCCTTTGTTGCCCTTTCTCCTGTAAGAGGCTCAGTATTGAGAATCTTCCCAATCATCAGTACCTCTTCTTTGGCGCATGGGAGTGGTGGTAGTTTTGTACATCTTCCATCTAAGACGACTTCAACACCCACCCACGGGTCTCCAACAAGCAGCGCTCCAGTCGTACTGTGGTACCCCTCTGAGCACTCTGCCATCAGCTTCAAACTGGTCAATGAAGGTATTAGTCGAATTCTGAAGGTTTCAGAAAGGTACTTAGAATCTTGGCTGATGACTGCGGAAAAAGGAACCAATGCCAAGGGACCATCAGGGACGATGGTGATTTCATCACCATGCAACAAGTCTGCAACTGGGCCAATACAATTGTTATACAGTTCCTTTAAAGCGCCTTTCTTTCTTTCTTTCACGCAGTCCAAGGATCCCGTCTCTTCAGAACTCTGAACAGGCAACTCGTCATCTGCTGGGCCATCCAAGCAACGAACCTGGCGTTCAACACTTCTCAGTGTTTTGCAAACTTTCTCAATCCAAGACTGCAAAAAGATCATTTCATCTTCCCGGAAAATGTTTCCATCTAAATTTCTTTGCCTGAAATGAATTTCTTTACATCCTTTCTGTAGCATCCAGAAATTGACTGAGATTTTGCCAATTGCTAGAAAAATCGTGTTCGATGAAACGTAGCTTAAAATGTCAGAGATTACTTCAGTGTTCTCGGCTGACGGTGAGGACGGAGCCAATTCCAATTGATATCGTGATCTCATCAGATCCATTAGGGCTTGCGCACGTCCCCGCTCGGCTGAAGAGAGAGCTTCAGTAATCTTGTTTCGGTTTAATTGAATGACCCATAATGCATAGTAAGCATGTCTATACTTAAGCCTATTCCGAAGGCCTATTTTCCAGTCGTCTTGCGATTGAAGAAGGTTTCTGGAGTTATCAAATATTTCTACACAGGATTTAACGCAATCTTCCGCTTTGCGCAAATCATCGAGAGCTTTGTAAGACAAGCCAAGGCTGAGATATGCCGTTACTTGACATTCTTTTTTTCCAGTATCCTCGGCGATGCGAAGAAATTTCTGGAAGTACTCTATGGCTGTCTCCAAATCGCCGAGACTACAATAAACGTTACCAAGATCACCATATAGTGGTCCTTGACAACAGTAAACTCCAAGCTCCTTGGCAATACTAAGAGACTTCTGGTAGTACTGCATGGCTTTGTTGAAATCACCGAGAGCCAAATAAACGCCACCAATACTCATATATGCGTGCCCTTTTGCTTCTTTGTCTCCAACATCCTCGGCAATACTAAGAGATTGCTGGTGGTACTCCATGGCTGTCCTCAAATCACCGAGAGAGGAACAAAATTTACCAAGACAAATACATGCACCACTTTGGGTTCTTTTATTTCCGACATCCTTAGCAATACTAAGACATTGCTGGTGGTACTCCATGGCTGTTCTGTGATCACCGAGAGAGAAAGCAACTTGACCAAGATGAAAATATGCATGTCCTTGCCCTTCTTTGTCCCCGACATCCTTGGAAATACTAAGGCAACGCTCGTAGTACTCGAAAGCCTTCTTGTAATTGCTATCGATAAAATAGTTATATCCAAGACTATAATAGGCGTTTAGTTTGATTGTTTTGTACCATCCTTCGTCAGTGATTTCCTCTCCATGTTTTCTCTAAGAATACAGCACAAGTTTTGATAAGAATCTCTTCCGCGTTTTCACTCACTGTTATAACCAAAAGCCAGTTAGAAAAAATATCTAGTCGTGGGCATGGAATAATTACTCATTAAGATTTATTCTTCAGTTAATTTTAAACTCAAATACATTTTCAGATCAGCCGTTGAATAGAGAGATATCCTTCTTCAATACACTGTTTTTTTATAAGAATATTGTTTTTCTCGCCGGGGAAGAATATTCTTATTTTTGTGACTTTTTTAGCTGAAAATATTCTTGTGAATATCCTTAGATTATAGCATATGAAATTTCTGTTTTCTAATTTATTTGGTGTCTGGATGGTGTTAAAGTAGTTTTAGAGCCAGCCTGTAGACATTAAAACCTGAAATCAGGCACATAACTTCTTGCAGAAATGTTATTAGCATCGAGCATACAGCTAGTGCTGTTTTTGTTGCTTTTAGACCAGTTCTGCCATTTAGAGAAAGGAAGAATTTTATACAGTTTCGTTAAAAACATATAATTGTATTGTATTTACAAATTTTCAACACACAAAATTATATTCTTTTCAAAATCTCAGCCTCGGCCTCAGGTTTAGTCTTAAA